TGACCACCCCATCAGTACTTCATTGACACTTCCAAAAATACTGAATATTGAAAACTTCCTAAGCAAATACTCTCAAGGTTTTATTATTATTATTATTTGCATAATTAATTCACTTCATTGTACTGATGGGGTGGTCATAATAATCTGGCCACTCAGTGTATATTATAGTGTGTTCCCTATCCCACTTAAGATCCACAGAAAGTTCTTAAAGAACATTATAGCTATCTATGAGGGGCATAATGAGCTAAATGGGTGTTACCCAGTCTGAAAAATCTTAGTGATGTCAACACGCCACTTGAGATAACAAGTCTCCTGCTGTTTGGTCCTCATTCCTTATCAGTCCTTGGCGTTGGGAAGAGGAACTTTCTGGAAGGATAAGGACCTTTGTGGAGTAACAAGGAGAAGGTTTGTATACTCTAGACCAGTGGTTCTCAACCTGTGGGTCGCCTAAGACCATCAGAAAACACATATATAATTACATATTGTTTTTGTGATTAATCACTATGCTTTAATTATGTTCAATTTGTAACAATGAAATTGGGGGTCACCACAACATGAGGAAAAACGTATTAAAGGGTCGCAGCATTAGGAAGGTTGAGAACCACTGCTCTAGACTCTGAAAAAAACCAGTGATAAGTAGTTCTGTAGGCTGACAATTTCCCCCTTAGCCTTCCTTTCTAACAGCTACACAGGTCACTGTTAGTTACGTAGAGGAAAAATAATAGTAAGAAAAAAAAATTCAACCCTTCACGTATATTCACCACGAGTTAGCTCCAATCATACCCAAAATTCACAGTGTCATTCTAACCCAAGTGTGGTCTGTGATCTAATAGGTAAATGAAGTGACTCTACTGAGGAAGTTCATGCAAACACATTGGTTTTGACTTTTTAGTGTATACAGATCTTTGTGTTCATTTTTATCACACCAACTGCTTAATGCAGGATTGTACAAATGGATCTGGAAATCTCATGAAAACTATTAAACTAAAGAAGTTCATCTTTTAGGGATCATATCTGATGCATATATGATCACTTTCCAGAGGCAATCAGAAGTTTGCTTTGAGAAAGGGTGGGCACTTGTGAGAATGTCAGGCTACTGGGATATGAACCCTCATGTTACCAATTGTTTCTCTATAACAGTGGGGAAATCATATTTCTTTGCTGTGCCTCAGTTTCCTTGTTAAATATGGGTATAATCACTGTGCCTATTGCGTAGTATTATTGAGGTCTGAGTGCAATAATATATAGTGAACCTTGCCTGGTGCCTAGTCACTGTTTATGAAAATATCAATGAAGATGTTGTAGATGTATATTAACATGGAATTGTGATTTGTTTGTTTAACCTATGTATTCGAATTTAAGTCTCCGAGATTTCAAAACCATGGTTTCATTGCTTCCTCATGTTCATGCTGCTTCCTTTGAACTTCCTTGTAGTTCCAGTTGATTGACTCAAGACTGTGCAGCAATGTATATTATGCTGACTTCACCCTCATGTGCCCTGAGGGCTATCACCCATCAAATCAGGGAGCTGACAAGTATGTTGGTGGGAAATAAATGAGGAAGAACAAGGATTAAAAAAGTGTCATGACTTATTTGTTGACAATACTTGTTATATGAAATGATGATCTTTTTTCCTCCCCAGATATTTTTTCTCTGCTGTACTGTGAACATGGAAGGAATATAATTACTCAGCAGCCATCTCAATCGCTTATCAGGTGGACTTGCAAAGATAGCTGTTTCAAAGTGCCTTTAAAATACAGTGACATTTTGCATTAAAGCCTTTGCTAGGACTGCCAGACTAAGTCAGTCATTATTGAAAGATATCACCATCGTTAGGCTAGTTGTTCATAATAAAATAAATTCCCTTCATTATGTTCTTGGTACCATTCATCAAGCAGAGCTCTTCGGGGCTTGAAATTTAGCAGAGGAGTTAAAGAGCTAACCTACATCTAATCTTAGTCGATTGAAAATCTCAGTGAGATAGCATGAAACTTCAGCATCAGCTCAAGCTTTGGGCTCAGTCAGACTTTCATCCTGGTTTAAAATTACTATCTTTGTGACCTAGTATTGAACCTCTTTGTGGAAATTATCAAAGAAATATGGCAATAAAACCTTCCATGGAAATTGTTATGAAGACTCAGTGCGATTGACATTATAATCATCTATATTGTAAATGCTCAATAAATATGAATGCCTTTGTTTTACTATTTCCTTGTCTCTTTCTTCCCAGTCTCCTAGTGCATTTGGGGGAGTCCAACTTTTACAGTTCTAAAGTATGTCACACATAGCAAGTCAGTCACTGGAGGAGGCATCAGCGATGTGAGGCCTTTGATGCTTTCTGCTATAATGGAGGCCAGGGGCCAGAGTCAGTATTTACACCTTGCAGCACATTGACCAGCTGTTCCAGCAAATCAGGTGAGCTGAGGGCATGGGAATACTGAAGCATGTTTCCCAATGAAGTACTGCATATGGAAGTGGTTTGTAAATTGTCAAGGGATCTAGGATTGTATGGTATTACTCTTACTAGTATCAACACTATCCCTTCCTTCTCACTTTACAGGTTTGGAAATTGATACCCAGAAAGACAAAAAGTGATTTTCCCAAACCCATGATCATCATCTCCATTATCATCGTAGCAGCAAATATAGTGCTTGCCTAGTGCCAACTACTGATCTAGGCACTTTCCATGTGTTAGGAGAAACCCATGTAATCTTTAGAACAACCATGAGGTGGGTACTGTCATCCCCATCTTACAGATGAAGCAGAAGCACAGAGAGCTCACACGGTGGCAAGTGGCTGGGATTTGAACCTCAGCAGTCTGAGTCCAGCATAATCTTTTTGACAATGATGCTATATATATACACTTTGAGAAATAAAGCTGGGCTCAGAAGATGAATATTGTTCTCTTTTATGTTTGACCCTTTCTATTTTCACTTTATAATACATTTTGACTTATTTATTAGTTAGCTTATGAGAATGTTTTTAAAAAATGTATCTTTATTGTTGGAAGTATTACAGTTGTCCCCCTTACTTCCCCCATTAACACCCCCCTCTTCCCCAGCCACAACCCCTCCCCAGGCCTTCAGAGAACTATTGTCTGTGTCCATGGGATATGTCTATATACATTTAAGTTCTTTGGTTAATTCCTTCCTGCCTGTGCCCCATCCCCGCTTCCCTCTGAGATTCGTCAGTCTGTTCCATGCTTCCGTATCTCTGCATCTATTTTGTTCATCAGTTTATTTTGTTACTAGAGGCCCGAGTGCATTGGAGGGGGGGTGGTGGTCCCCCTAAGCCCGGCCTGCACCCTCTCCAATCCGGGACCCCTCAGGGGATGTCCGACTGCCCTCCCCAGCCAACCTGATTGCCTCTAACGGCCTCTGCCTCTGCCCCCGCCACCATGGCTTTGTCCAGAAGGACGTCCATATGGATGTCCCGAAGATGTCTGGTCTAATTAGCATATTACCCTTTTATTAGTATAGATTAGAAGCTGGGTGCATGAAATTTGTGCATGGAGGAGGGGTTCCCTCAGCCCAGCCTGCACCCTCTCCAACTGGGGACCCCTTGGGAGATGTCTGATTGCCAGTTTAGGCCCGATCCCTGTGGGACATCTCTCTCGCAATCAGGGACCACTGGCTCCTAACTGCTCACCTGCCTGCCAGCCTGATCACCCCCAACTGCCCTCCACTGCTGGCCAATTTGGTTCTGATTGGTCGGTTTCTATGTCAGCGTCAAAAGTTCCGACTCCTAGGCAGCCATTGGCTCCCCACAGCACCCACATTTGGTTCTGATTAGTTGGTGTCTATGCCAGTCAGCATCAGAAGCTCTGCCTCCTAGGAAGCCATTGGCTCCCCATAGCACCCACATTTGGTTCTGATTGGTCGGTTTCAATGCCAGTCAGTGTCAGAAGCTCTGCCTCCCAGCCATTGGTTCCCCACAGCAACCACATTTGGTTCTGATTGGTCAGTTTCTATGCCAATCAATGTCAAAAGCTCCGTCTCCTAAGCAGCCATTGGTTCTTCACACTACCCACATTTGGTTCTGATTGGTCGGTTCCTATGCCAGTCAGCATCTCCAGGCCTATCTCTGGGCCTAATCAGAGAGGCAGGGCTGAACAGCAGCCCCTGCAGTGGCTGGGAGAGAAGGAAAAGCCCTGCTGCTGGCTAAGCTCAGAAAGAAATAGGAAGAGAAGGAGAGAGGCAAGTACCAATCAAAGGCTGCCACTGAGGCTGCAAATCAGACCCTGCCTCTCTCTGGGTCTCAGCCCCCTGGGCAGTCAGTGCTGGGTCGCCCCGGCAACCCAGCCCTGACTGAAGGACTTCCGGGTTGGTCAGCATTCGGTTGTGATTGGTCTTTACAACCCTGGACTTTTACATATTGGGATGAGAATGTTTTAAAGACTGAAACAATGCACATAAAATGTATTGGTTACATGAAAAGAGGCAATAACTGCTAAAGTCAACCAAACTAATTTAAAGTTGCTTTGAGACACTTTCCTACAGGGGTGATGATGCAGAGGTGAAGAGTGGAGAGGTGGTTTGTTCAAAAGAAATAGGAGACATGTCTTTTGCAGCCTAGCTGAGGAGAGAAATGAAAACAGTCAAGGCCAGCAGGAGCTGGGGAAGAGAGATGAGTTTGCACTGAGGGTTTCAGGTGAGATATGGAGCTGAGAGCAGTGTCCGGGGGTGGGAGAGGCTCAAGAGCTGACAGGTGCTATGCTTAGAATGACCAAGGACCCAGATACAATGTTGGATAAGAAATGGAAAAAACCAAAACCAAAACCCCAAGCATCCTAGTTTGGAGAAGAAAAGAGTCAGAGAGCTATGAAGGCTTACTTTTAATATTTTAGGGCTGCCATGTGACAAAGGGATTAGATTTGCCTGTGTTGTTCTAGGGCACATGGTGCAAGTGGGGGGTGGGGTGAGGGGAGAAAGGATTAAAAGCAAAATGGAGAAGACCCTTCCAGTATCAGCGACAGTGACAGAAAGGACCACTTTCACAATCATGCAGCTCTTGGTCACTGTAGATAGATGTGGAGGCAGAGGCTGGATTACTGGTAATGTTGTAAAGCAGCTTTCAGAGAATTTTATATTATATTCTCATTTCCTAAAACTTATATATGTATCATGTGCATACAAAAATACACCAAATTTATATACACCTTTTAATGTAATAATTTCTTTTTTAAATGAACATATGTACTTGAGAACAACCTATCATATGTATATTTTTTAACTTGGAAAGGCTCAGGACATTTTCTGAGGTCACAACTAAAAGCCAAGATTTGAATCCATCCCTGTCTGACTTAAAGTGTAGTCTTTTTTCCGCCCCAGAAGCCCATAATCCTGAAATCCATGGAATTAAGAAGGGAATGGGAAGACAAAACATGGAGGCAGTAGGCAGAGAATACTAAATGGTAAGAGATTAGGAGCTTCTAAAATAGGAACCGGCGTGGGGGCTGTGACTGGAAGGTGACAAAGAGGACCGTGAAGTCAGCTGGAACTGAATTGTGACAGAGCAGGGCTGTGGAGGCAGAGCAGCCGGGCGTGGTCATCCCGGCAAGTGGCGGATGTGGAATTAAGACAGAGTTGTTGACTTTCTTTCTTTTTAAATGTAAAGCCCTTTACAGCGAGTAAAAATGTCCCCAAACCAATAGTATGCTTATTTCTATCTTTTAGGCTATTTTTATTTTTAGGACCTTCTCATCCTTTAACGATACTTATTCTTTTGAAACAAAATTTCCTCGTTTATTTTGCTACGTAAGCCAGAGGTCATCTCTGTGATGTGGGAATAGAAGTGGTCCTTGCTACTTGGGTAGAGAGTGGGGTCCGGCCACTGTTAGGGCCAGATTGGTCTTAGCCGAGTTAGAACTTGACACCATCATTTACACAAGTGTGGTCTGCCTCCAAGACAGAGGGAGGTGTTTTATGACCACAGGCTTTATGAGTGGTAGCTATAAAATAATCAGTCTTTAAAAACAAACATACCACAGTGTCTGCATTCAAATGCAAGTTGTCCTTCAGAGCTGTGACCTTGGGAACATTTTCACATGTTCTGGTGAGAACCATATTTGAATTCCTCACTGGAAACATCCTTCTGGTCCAGTTTATCTCTCACACATATATATACACTCACATTATTTTAAGGTGCACTATTTCTTTTTAAGAAATATATTTTATTGATTTTTTACAGAGAGGAAGGGAGAGGGATAGAGCAACATCAATGAGAGAGAAACATCAATCAGCTGCCTCCTGCACACCTCCTACTGGGGATGTGCCCACAAACAAGGTACCCCTTGACCGGAATCGAACCTGGGACCTTTCAGTCCACAGGCCGACGCTCTATCCACTGAGCCAAACCGGTTAGGGTGGCACACTATTTCATTGTGGTAAAACTGGTATATGACATGTGGTCCAGGTGTACAATATTATAATTCGACATATACTATAAAGTGATCACCATCAAAAGTCTAGTTACCACCCATCACCAAGGTACCCTTTATTTTTAACCAAAAATGTTTTATCTTGCTTGACAATCAATTTTATTTCCAAGAGGACTGGTTGTGAATGCTCGCTATCAGAAAGATAAAACCCATTATTAAGAGACAGTTGTGACCACCAAAGAGGTAAAAAATAAGGGGGTGCTGATTCTGAAGACCATACCCGAAGCAGAACTACAAAGATAGCTGGAATATTGGCAGTATCCTTAGCATGAGAGAACAGCCTTTCAAAATGTTGTTTTGAAGGACATATGTAAATGTCTAATTCTTAAAACATCTCTAAAATAATAATAACCAAATCCACTACATATCCCAACTTGTTTAGGATACTTTTCATGTTACCGCTTCATTTCTAATTATGGTCACACCCTACTGTCACTCCTCACACTGAGCACTCATGAAAATTAGCTCAAACTCAGCCATACCCAGAGGTAAGGGAGATCTACAGTAAGTATTGTGTGAAGGTATGCAAAGTAAGTAATATTTATATACTATTCGAAGACATAAAAATGCACTTACTATTTTATTACAAGTTAAGCTCTTTGATCTATAGGTATGTTCATAAATATACACAAACATATGTGAAAATTAGTTCATTACATTAGTTCATTTGTTTGTAATAAGCAAATACTAAAAAAACAACAACCAAATGTCCACTAATAAGCAAATTAATCAGTAAATTATGGTATATCTAAAGAAAAGAATAACATACAATTGAAAAATACACATATATACAATGGTTTATATAGGCAGTTTTGCAAAACATATTGTTAAATAAAAAAGCCAAATAAAAACTATTTATATTTCTCAATTTAGAAAATATGATAAATATCTGGAAGGGTACATAAGAAAATGTGATGGCAGTTACATTAAGAGAATAAAATAAGAGGTCTATTATAGGTGAGAAAATATTGAATATTTTCTTGTGTGTTTTATCATGAGCAAGTATTCTTTTCAAAATAATAAAAATAAAAAAACAAAATAACAACAACAGTTTTAAAAGATAAAATATACAACGGAGCAATGTATTGACTAAGGTGTGGTTGAGAACAATATTTGGTCTTCTTTCAAAGGTGGTGAACTAAACTCTTGATTTTTGCATTTTGGCTATACTTGGATGGGGATGGAAGTCAGAATGTCATAGCTTTTTATTTGAAGGTGAAATATTGAGCCTAGTAGAAAGACATTCTGCACAAAACTTTTTACATTATCTGACCTCTTCTACTTAAAAACAAAAGAAATAAACATTTATTTTTGGACACTTGATCAATTACTATCCTTTGGGAGCTGAGGGTTTTCTTTCTTAAAAAA